CGATCAATTTAAATAATTTCCAATGAGGTCAGCCTAATGCAAGCTTCATACCTTTTTTTGGTTCCAAAATTATCAAATATTTATCCCATAAGGTACACTTATTTTCTTTTTGCTTGCTTATCAAATTTTTAATACTGTCAAATTAAATTCCAATATTTTTCCTCGAAAATTTGACATTGAACAGCCTGACAAAGTGTTTTGAAGAAAACAGTATACCGAATATGACTTTATCATTCCTCCATCAAATTCCCCATTTTAGAAGCTTAACATTGTTTATTGAACAGGACAAGGACTTACATAGTTACTGCCTCACCGTATGTTAGAAAAGATAATTAAGTTATTATTACTAAGTTCAAATAATATATATAATATTAGAAAAGCGTAATTAATATCTCACCAAATGTTTTATATTAAAAATCAAAGGATCTTTTTAAGAGCATCGCATAATAGAAATTGGAGGGAGCTAGTATGCATGTATTACTTCCTCCGTTACATATCTTTTGTGTTGTTTTAAGTTTTTTATTATTAGTTTTAAAACCATCAATATTGTTAGTCTACAGATGCAATGCACGATTATTTGTTTTTTTTTCTCCCAGTGATCCTGAGATGGCCAATAATACAATACCATCTCCCCACCCATTGCATGTAACTATCAATCATAAAAGTTAACCTAATTTATATAAACTCAATTTTTATAAGTTTGGCTCTTCAGAGCTTAAGTTTAAATTTTTTTTTAATCAACACTTTTTTTTGAAGCCCAACTTGGGCTCAAATTCAAGTCCATGAGAAAAGGGCCAAAAAGCCCTTTTCATACTAAATTTTCATATTTTTTAAGGTTGGTGTTTCAAAAAATACAAGGTATAAAAAGGTAACTTATTAGGTGCGGCTCTTGTTGAAGGTCATGCGCACACATTTTTCTCTCTCTTTTATTATTACTCAATTGGGAAAAAAAAAGTTATAATAATCATTGTGTAATATTATTTTACATCAATAGCTAAAACAACAAAGATCTTTAGTTAACGTGAAATATCAATATGCATTCAATGAAAATACACACACACACACATGTTTGTGTGTCCATACATACATGTAAATGTATACCCGCATAATACTTTCATTGGAGGGAATGAGAAACAATAACAATAATAAGAGAAATACGATAAATGAGAATAAAAGGTGATTAAAAGATAGAAATAAATAATCATAACTATGAGGAAAATAATAAAGTTAAGTTGACCTTCAATTTCTAAAATAGCAAAAATTTTGAGACAAGCCAAGAAGTTTAAAGGAACATTAGTCATGGGATACGGAGAGTACTTGCCACATTTGTGAAAGTCAACGAGAGGCCATTGTTTCATTTGTGTATGCCTGTGTGTGTTATTAAGGTCGATGTTTAACCAAAAGCGGAGAGGCTAAAGACATCTTGAATCAAGTAAGACCTTTAACTTTTAAAATTAAATAAATTACTTGAACTTCACACAAATCTAACGTGAAACCCCATATTCATGCAATTTAGAATATTTTCTTTTTTGACGTATTTAAAAATAATTATGAAAATAAATAACAACATCAGTAATTAGTAAATAAAGAAATAAAGTATATTTTTGTGAGACACTAAGGACATTTTTTATTGGGGGGGGATAATATATATAAAACTGTTTTATTTAAACTTCTAACTACTAACTTAAAAGACATAAACCAATGAGAAAGTCGATGATCGTGCAAGCCACAAGGCTCATTAATGTTATTATTATATGTAGTATTAATTCATTTAGCATGATTTTAATTGTTTTAAATAAAAGCATTATTAGCAATAAAAAGAGAGAGAGAGCACATGGGATGTTATGGCTTGTGAACATGCATGAAGTGTAGAAGACAAAACAGAGATTTGGTATCTAAATGGATGGGAATATGAGGATCTTCTTGTGTGACTGCCAAGACATGTAAAGTCAACCATATTATAGTTTAAAGCATACCAGCCAGCTTGAGTAATTCTCAGGTTTTCCCTTTAAATTCATGTAATTTCCATTATTATCCTTCCACGGTGATCCCAAAAATGTGCGCATGGGGCTCACCAACCTGAATTCAATCCTAGAGTCCAGTCTATATTATCTGTGATCACAATTTGAAATCCATATTATAATACATTGTAACATAAATAAAGAGATTTACTTAGATTTTTTTAAGAAGAAGAGACTGACAGAAAACTCTTTTTGAAGAGAATTAGAGGTGGAAAATGAAGCATACATGAAGTTTTCTTTTTAACTCAATTTCTTTCCTTCTAAATTTGTTTAACTACAAGTTCTAAAGGATCTAAACTCTAGATGCAAGAAGTGAAAATGCTTAAAACCCTATTATAATTTTCATTTCCTGTATTACTTTCATTTCCTTTACATAATTACATGATTATAGTTTTAAAAAAATATTTTTTACATTCTAATAATATAACATAATACATGAATGACAAATAAGGATATCATAAGAACTTTAATGTCATATTAAAATCTCTTCACAATTAGAGTTTCTAAATTCAGTAGTTCTTCTTCTATGTATCAATACTAAAATCTTTAAAAAAAATCTTAATTTGACAATAATCTTTTTTTAAAATCCTTACCTATTATTCTCCTCAATAAATATGTTAGGCCAAAAAAATATTATATATATATATATATATATATATGTATGTATGTATGTATGTATATTGTATTACTCTTATGCAGCTCATAAACTAGAGAATAAGTAATTCTTTTACTTCCTTCATTAAAACATGTAAGTCATTTTTTTAAGAGTTGAACGTTTAAAAATATAAGATATTTTTAATCTTTCAAGGTGTAATCATTGTTTTTTTAAAAATATTCCTATTAATGAATGATTTTATATTTATCATAGGGTGTTTAATTGGAGTAAATATGAAAAGATAGAATTAGTTTGAAAGTAAGCAATTACTTTATTATTAGGTGAGATTCGATTAAAAATGCCTTATATTTTTTAACAGAGGGAGTATTTATTTTTATCATACAAATTAGGGCTGTGCAAAAGTCTTCCAGTCCTGTCTGGTCCAGTCCAACCCGAGATGGTCTCAGTCTTGTTCGGTCTGTATAGTCACTGGTCTTTCAGGGCCAAAAAGACTAAAAAGACCAGACTATTTTTTCGGGTTGGACTGGACAAGAGACCAGGCATCTGGACCACTTGGTCCAGTCCAGTCCTATTAATTTTTTTATTATAATTATAATTAATTTATTTTTGACAAATGTTTAAAGTGTAATTGATGCTAAGGAGATGATTGTATAAAGATTTATTAAGTTTGTTTCTAAATTGTTATTGTAATATAGTGTTGTTGAATTTTGTTGAGTATTGTTTTTGTTAAAGTTATAAATTTAAATAATTTAGACTATAACAGAAATATTTTTTTCTTATTGTTAGAAATTATTATGGATTTATTATTATTATAAGTGTTTCTACTATCTTAATTGAGATTATTATGTTGGAATGGATTATTTCCTCTCATAGAATAAAAAAAAGAAAAAAAAGCTAAGTGAGTACTGGACTGACAGGACCAGTCTCCCAGTCCTATGGACTAAGTCCGGTCCTGTTAATCTTCGGGTTATCACTGGACAAGACTGGACTACGGGTTGCCTAACCCAGTCTTTTTCATGAAAGAGACTGGACTTCGGGTTAGGGTGAAGTCCAGTGCCGTCCTGTCTTTTGTGCAGCCCTAATACAAATCTTTGGATAATGCCTTACACACAAATTAGACTAAATTAAATTGAGAGCTAGTTGGCCTAGGTTGTGGACGCATTTTCAAGCCATACGAATTTTAATTTTAGGACACACATTTATATCTATATTTCTTACCTTACGTCCCATTCTTCAAATTTCATACAAATTAATCCCTTCAGTTCATAACATAAAACATCGTTTTAGAAGACATGTTTATTCTAAAATATAAAGTATTACAAAATTCTTATAATTTTTTTCAACTACATCCTTCCTTTATTATTCCTTTTAAAAAATAATTTATTAAAATTTCAATTGCCATTAAAAATTTCATATAAGGTATTTAATAAAAATATAATTAAAAAATATATAAATTTTTAAAATATTAAAATCTTAATAATTTTTTTTAAAAACTGTGTAGTCATCAATATTCTATATCATAGATTTGTCCTCCAATAACTACTTAATTAATTAAAAGCAAGATCACCTTATTTAAGGTATTTAATAAAAGTATAATTATGAAAATATAATTAAAACGCTCATAAAATGTATTTAATGAAAGTATAATTAAAAAGATATACAATTTTTTAAAAGATTAAAATTTCAATAATTTTTTATTAAAAAAACTGTGTAGTCATCAATATTCTATATCATAGATTGGTCCTCAAATAACAACTTATTTAATTAAGCAGGATCACCTTATTACATGCTAATCATGGCAAATCCAATCAACCCCCCATTCACAAAACATAAAATCTCTTGGCTTCTGCTTTCTAATTTTAAATACTTACCCATTATTATATGTTTCTGCCATTTCAGAACATGCAACTATGAGGTGTCAATACACTTACTTTAATCCTCATAACTACATCCTCTTTATATACAATTAATTTTGAACTAAACAATATCTAAATTTTTTTTTACCCTGACCGTATCCTCTTTTCTATCATATTTACACCAAAAGAGTCAAATTTATAAGGTATTTTGACCAATGTAAAAGATTTAATTCGACATATAAACTAATTCAGTTCACCAGTCCCACTTGAGCTAGAAAACCAAAGAAACAAGGCTTATGATGTTGAAGTTTGCTTTGATGTATTAGCCAATAATTTTAAATTTGAAGGAGAATGACATTAACAACGAGAAGAAACAGCCGGATTTTCTCTAATTCCCTTATTTTCTAATGATTTTGGAGGACTCTGCTTTCGTAGATTGGCTTACTCCAGACTAATTTATTTGTTTGTCTGCTATAGGTTGTTCGAATAAAGAAATTTCAAATCAGAAACTTACATGGAAAAACTCAGCTGAATATTCGAGCACATGTAGCAATAGAAATACATATCCTCGAACAATCCAGTGCGAGGGAGAGGCCATTTCTGAAATCAGTGTTGGTAAGGATCCAAGCTTCATGAGTTTCTCTGCATGAAAACCAGAAGGAAACTCGGCGGGTTTTTCTTAGTCGATTGAAACCAGGGAGCAAAGCAGATCACAGAAAATGGAAGGTGGTGACATGAGAGTGGCCAGTGCACGCATAGGCAGCTCTAGCATTTGGAGAAGCAGTGCTGCAGATGTATTTTCAGGGTCTTCACTCAGGGACGACGATGAACATGACCTTAAATGGGCTGCAATTGAGAAGCTTCCAACATACCTACGTATGACGAGGGGCATACTCGCCGAATCCGAAGGTCAACCTCAAGAGATTGATATAAATAAACTCGGCCCACTTCAGAGGAAGAATCTCGTGGAGAGGCTAGTCAAGATTGCAGAGGAAGATAATGAAAGGTTCTTGCTGAAGCTCAGAGACCGCATTGACCGGTAAGTAACATGTTTCTTCTGAGGTCTTGTTGTACACTCTTGGTATGATGTTTGATTATATGACTTCTTACTGTGGAAGTGCAGCGTTGGGCTGGACTTTCCTACGATTGAGGTTCATTTCGAGCATTTAAACGTGGAAGCAGAAGCTCATCTAGGAAGCAGAGGATTGCCCACAATCTTCAACTTCTGTGTTAACATGTTAGAGGTAATCATATATCATGAGTTTCTGATGTTGTTCAGTAATACCTAAAGGTTATTTATAAAAGCAGTATGCTTACCAGTTACTATGTGAACATGTTCTGTGTTTTTCCCAGGGTTTCTTGAACTCTTTGCACCTTCTTCCCAGTAGAAAGAAGCCGCTCACCATTCTTCATGATGTTAGTGGGATCATCAAGCCTAGAAGGCAAGAGAGTGCAGCCTCTGAAATTTCCGTATGAGATTCTTCAGAAACTCTGTAATTCTCAAAATAAATTTGTCTGGCTTTTGTAGAATGACATTGCTCTTGGGGCCTCCAAGCTCTGGAAAGACCACATTATTACTGGCACTGGCTGGAAGACTCAGTAAAGATCTCAAAGTAAGAAAAATAGAAACCGAAAATTTCTGTGCTTATTTCAGAATCCACTTCATCCTTACTATCTCTTTTTTTTGTTGCTTTGAACTTAGTTTTATGGGCGAGTTACGTATAATGGGTATGGCATGGATGAGTTTGTACCTCAAAGAACATCAGCGTACATAAGTCAACATGATCTCCATATAGGAGAAATGACAGTGAGAGAAACGTTGGCTTTTTCAGCAAGATGCCAAGGGACAGGAAGCCGTTATGGTTAGTGAGAAACCTCACATTCAACCCTGTCTGAACTATGAATGATGTTCTTTAACCTGTGACTGAATTGTTTTACGCTTGAGCGACTTGCAGAGATGCTGACGGAATTATCAAGAAGAGAGAAGGCAGCGAATATTAAGCCAGATCCTGATCTTGATATTTATATGAAGGTGAGAACCTTAAAGTTGATTTTTCTCCTCCTTTCCCTGAAAATTCAGTCTACAAGAATTGTTTATTTCTTGACTCATCTGAATTCATTGAATTTTCAGGCGGCAGCACTAGAAGGCCAAGAAACCAATGTTGTAACAGATTATATTATGAAGGTACCAGATGAAGTTTAATTAAACTTGTCAGTTGATTATAACTTTCTTTGGGCACAAACTTAGTTCTTCCTGTTTTTGACACACGGAAGATTCTGGGACTAGAGACATGTGCTGATACGCTGGTCGGAGATGACATGATTCGGGGAATTTCTGGCGGGCAAAAGAAGAGAGTCACAACAGGTAAGGGACAAACTTCTATCCACTTGTCTTACCAAACCATTTAGTACGTTGATTCATGGAACTTGGTAATGATAAATCTCAGGTGAGATGCTGGTGGGACCAGCAAGAGCACTTTTCATGGATGAAATATCAACTGGTTTGGATAGCTCTACCACATTCCATATGGTGAATTCTCTGAGACAATCAATCCACATCCTTAATGGAACAGCCGTTGTTTCTCTTCTACAGCCAGCGCCAGAAACCTATGAACTATTTGATGATATAATTCTCCTTTCTGATGGACATATCGTCTATCAGGGTCCACGTGACAACGTGCTTGAGTTCTTTGAATACATGGGCTTCAAATGCCCAGAGAGGAAAGGAGTGGCAGACTTTTTGCAAGAAGTAATCCCTACTTTCACTCAATTGTTTTCTTCTTGTTCATACAAACGACTCTCTACTAAACTCTTGTCCATCCATGTATGTGACAGGTAACATCAAGGAAAGATCAAGAACAGTACTGGGCAAATAAAGATGAGCCATATACCTTTGTCACTGTAAAAGAATTTGTGGATGCATTTCAATCATTTCACGTTGGCCGAAAACTTGGTGATGAACTTGCTACTCCATTTGACAAGTCCAAGGGCCACCCTGCTGCTTTAAACAAAAAGAAGTACGGTGTTAACAAGAAGGAGCTGCTAAAAGCTTGCATATCCAGAGAATTTTTGCTCATGAAGAGGAATTCCTTTGTCTATATTTTCAAAACACAGCAAGTAAGTCTTGTAGTTGAAGCTGTAGAATTCGTTAACAGTGTTATTTTAACTTGACTGATGATCGACTCGTATGTTTCAGCTGATTGTAATGGCTCTCATAACAATGACGCTATTTCTGCGAACTGAGATGCATCGGGACACAGTAGCAGATGGTGGCATCTATATGGGAGCTCTGTTCTTCGTACTCATTATGATTATGTTTAATGGATTTTCGGAGCTATCTATGACCATTGCGAAACTCCCTGTCTTCTATAAGCAAAGAGACCTTTTGTTTTATCCTTCTTGGGCATACGCTTTGCCTACATGGATCCTTAAGATTCCTATTACCATAGTTGAAGTTGCTGTTTGGGTGGTGTTGACTTACTATGTTATAGGCTTTGATCCAAACATCGAGAGGTGAGTAAAATGTAACAGATTGACATGCCTCAAGCTTCTAACATTGTTCCCAGATTTCTGCTCATAAATATTTATTGTAGCAGGTTCTTCAAACAGTTCCTTTTGCTCCTGTGTATCAATCAAATGGCATCTGGGCTTTTTCGATTCATGGGGGCAGTTGGGAGGAACTTAATTGTCGCAAACACTTTTGGGTCTTTCTCTTTGCTTGCAATTATGGTGATGGGTGGATTTATCCTTGCAAGAGGTGAACTGATACTGTAATTTAATCTCAAAGAAGCATATTTAATTGCTCTCATTTTCCCCCTTCTTACAGAATTTGACAGAAACCTTTATTTTCTTCAGATGACGTGAAGAATTGGTGGTTATGGGGTTACTGGTTCTCACCCATGATGTATGGTCAGAATGCTATAGCTGTGAATGAATTCCTTGGGAATAGTTGGGCACATGTAAGCAATAAAATCAAACTCAGTGATGTAAACAAAAGAATAAAGGATTGTGATCAACGTCTAATGGTATATGAATACTTTTTGGGCACTTCTAGGTTCCTCCTAATTTAACAGAACCATTAGGAGTACAAGTTCTTAAGTCACGAGGGCTCTTCCCTCAAGCATACTGGTATTGGATTGGAGTTGGAGCTTCCATTGGTTACATGTTCTTGTTCAATTTCCTTTTCGCTTTGGCCTTGCACTATCTTGATCGTAAGTATCCTCTTCACATACAATTTAATTGTTAATATTGGTTCAATGAGCCAATGATGGAATCGATTTTCTGCAGCATTTGAAAAACCCCAAGCAGTAATATCAAAAGAGGACTTGGCCGAGAAAAATGCTAGCAGAAACGGACAGGTCATTGAACTATCATCAACACAACAAAGGTCTTCTGGTAGGATCACAAAATTCATAAACTACTCCACTTTACATACCATGTTCATGATGCTTAAGATGATCCGTATGATCACAAAATGCAGAAAAAGGGAATGAAAGTCGAAGAAGTGTGTCATCCAGAACACTCTCTACAAGAGTAGGTAATGTTAGCGAAGCAGATCACAATAGGAAACGTGGGATGGTTCTTCCTTTTACTCCTCTTTCTATGACTTTTGACGAAATTAGATATGCCGTGGACATGCCACAGGTAGCACAATTTACTTCAAAAAGACCCTTTTATGCAAAGACAGTACAACTATAAAGAAATAACCATGCATGGTTTTTGTAGGAGATGAAAGCACAAGGCATTACTGAGGATAGACTTGAACTATTGAAGGGTGTTACCGGAGTATTTAGGCCAGGAGTTCTTACAGCACTAATGGGCATAAGCGGAGCCGGAAAAACTACGTTAATGGATGTGTTGGCTGGACGAAAAACAACTGGACATACTGAGGGATCTATAACTATATCAGGCTATCCAAAGAAGCAGGAAACTTTCGCTCGCGTATCAGGATACTGCGAGCAAAATGATATTCACTCTCCCCATGTCACAATTTACGAGTCTCTGGTTTACTCAGCATGGCTTCGCTTACCCCCTAAGGTTGATGCTGCCACAAAAATGGTAAAACTCTCTATGGGTTTCTCAGGTTTTCTTTTACTCTTTAAAATTCAAAGTCAATTCTTAGGAATCTTGTTGATTGATTGTAGATGTTTGTTGAGGAAGTGATGGAATTGGTGGAGTTGAAATCATTAAGAGAAGCGCTTGTTGGGTTACCTGGAGTAAATGGTCTATCTACAGAACAACGAAAGAGACTAACAATTGCAGTTGAACTTGTAGCCAACCCGTCTATTATATTCATGGATGAACCAACATCTGGCCTTGATGCCAGAGCTGCAGCTATAGTAATGAGGACAGTCAGGAATACTGTAGACACAGGACGAACCGTAGTTTGCACAATTCACCAACCTAGCATAGATATATTTGATGCTTTTGACGAGGTAAATATCCCTTTTCTTCCCCCCCCCCCTCCAAAAGGCTTAAAAGGAACTTTCCTGCCAAAAAAATTCAAGTCTTGATGGTGGACATTCATGTTGTTGCATCACTACAGTTACTTCTATTAAAAAGAGGAGGCGAGGAAATTTACGCGGGACCTTTAGGCCTGCATTGTTCTCATCTTATCAATTATTTTGAGGTCAGCACTAACTTTAACGAATAACAAACATGCAAACTTGGGGAATTCTCAGTCAGTTTAATGTTACTGTAAGGTGTGTTTGATGTAGGTAATTAACGGGGTTCCAAAAATTAAGAATGGCTATAATCCTGCCACGTGGATGTTGGAGGTTACCTCAGAGGCCCAAGAAACTGCACTTCAAGTTAACTTTACCGAAATATACAAGAACTCTGACATGTATAAGTATGGCCTCAAATTTAAAAGCAAATTGCACATAGTCATACACTATTAGAACTTTTTGTGGTTGATTAACACTACACAACTACTTGCATTCAGGAGAAACAAGGACATGATCAGAGAACTGAGCATAGCACCACCAGGCTCAACCGACTTGTACTTTCCAACAAAGTACTCACAATCATTCTTTAGTCAGTGCAAGGCTTGCTTTTGGAAACAACATCTGTCATATTGGCGAAATCCACCGTACACTGCAGTGAGACTTTTCTTCACAACGGTCATTGCTTTATTATTCGGAACCATATTTTGGGATATTGGCTCCAAAAGGTACATGGAGTACAACATATCACAATCAAATACAGCCATGTTTGTCATTCACAACAGTCATCGCTTTAACTTTTCATCTAATGCAGGCAAAAGCAACAAGATCTTTTCAATGCAATGGGATCGATGTACGCCGCAATACTGTTCATAGGGGTGCAGAATGCTTCATCAGTACAACCAGTGGTGGCCATTGAGAGGACAGTCTTCTACAGAGAGAAGGCAGCAGGAATGTACTCTGCCTTGCCGTATGCATTTGCACAGGTTGCTATTGAGATCCCATACATCTTCGTACAAGCTGCCATATATGGGGTCATAGTATACGCCATGATTGGATTTGAATGGACGGTCAACAAGTTCTTCTGGTACCTCTTCTTCATGTTCTTCTCCTTCTTATACTTCACCTTCTATGGAATGATGGCAGTGGCTATGACACCTGATCATAACATTGCTGCTATAGTTTCCTTTGGCTTCTACCTAATGTGGAACCTTTTCTCCGGATTCGTCATTCCCCGAACTGTAAGTACCTTCATTGCTGCTCCTTCTGCTTCATGTTAGTAGAGACCATGTGACTTACAGAGGTTCAATTTTGTTTTTGAAACAGAGGATTCCAGTATGGTGGAGATGGTACTACTGGATTTGCCCAGTGTCTTGGACCTTGTATGGATTGTTCGCTTCACAATTTGGAGATGTAAAGGACACATTGGAGTCTGGAGAGACAGTGGAAGAGTTTTTGAGGAATTATTTTGGGTATAGGCATGATTTTCTAGGCATAGTTGCCGTGGGGGTTGCTGGCATTTCAGTGTTGTTTGGACTTATCTTTGCCTTCTCAATCAAGGCATTTAATTTCCAAAAGAGATAAAGATTCTCAATTTGTGGAACTTAATGATCATATACACATGCAGACATACATACATGTATATGTAAAGGTACTCATTTTGGTTGTGATGGCTGGAAATGGTCTTCTTCAACTTGTCATTCTAAAAGCTTCTGTGTTGCTGTCACTACATTGGAAGGATGATTACAAAAAGTTTGAAAAGCGAGGCATTGGACGGAAAAAAGAGAGAAAAAGAAAGCAAGCTTTTAGAAAATGAAGAAGCATCCCATGGAAGTAAGGGAAACGTGGAACACACGTTGTCGAGGTTGTCGTTTTTGCTCCACATTTTCTTCTTTGTATGGTACACCTACCTCTAATCATCATTGGATCCCGGCTCCTCAAATTCATTTTCATACAAAGGTCCACCATATCTCTACTTAGGGTCCTATAAATGAACAAAAAATACATATTTAATTTTCATTTTTTAATATTTATTTTATATCTCATTTTTATGTTATGGTATATGATCATTTATTTATTTGAAGTTTCAACGCCATTCAACAAGTGATGATGACAACTCGACAACCTGATTAAAAGGTGTGGCTCAAGGGCTACCCTAGGAGTCACTTTGGGAAGAGATATTAATCAGTTCTATTTTCATCTCTATCTCATCCACCTTAATTGATTGGCCAAGCGAAAAAAAAAAAAACAAAAACAAAAAGATTGCCATAATTTTTCAAAAGATATGTTTATTTTTTTACCATCAAAATATGTGTTTATTGAATTGTAGTCGTGAAATTAAATAAACAGGATAAAATTACATTTTAATTCAAGAAGTGATGCTGAAACCTCCCCAACCTGCTTAAAATTTTCAACTTTGCTTCTCGTGATAAAGGGTGAGGCTGAAGGAAAACCCTAAGCTGATTGGCCAAGGAAAAAAAGGAGCCGTGTTTAAAATAAGCATAACAAATATTACATTTTAATATAAAAATTAAATTAAATTATAAAATAAAAATATCTATATATAATAGTACACGATCAGTTCAGAATATAATTAAGTTCAACTTAAACAAGTTCACATTCAACCACCAACCTTTTTTTTTTTTTTAAACCATGAATTCAACAACCAACCAACAGGACCTTCATCAAACTTAACAACAGATTAAAATGATAGTGTCGCGTTTGGCTGCGGTATCATGGAGCTGGATTGGAATATATGCGTTCAACTATATTACGTCCAATTTGGTATTTTATAATGGTCGTGATATCTTAATAAGCATGACTCAATAATTTATATTCTTTCCATTTATTTAAAAAAATTTAAAATATAATTTGTCTTGGTTTTAGCGCTAATTCACAAAGGGCCGTCCTATATTTTAAATGCCGTCTAACAATAGTGGATTCTCCACTTATTTTGACAGAACATGATCCTCGACATGCTAAAGGTTACTCATGCACTTGTCTGAAGACCGTTCCGCAAAAGAAATAAAAATCGCTGTGTGTCTATGATTGAAGACAGTAAGCACAGTGAACGTTTGATGCAGGAGAAGGCGAAAAGCTATTCGTCTTCTTGACGTGAAAACCTGCAGAAACTTTTTCCCATGAAAGTCTTGGATTGTTGAAATTTTCAGTTCTACTGTGGCAGACCAATGGAGAGGAACGAAGTGTCCAGAGTTAGTAGTTTACGTGAAATCAGCAGAGCTGAGAGCCTCCGCGCGAATGGTTCTCAAGTCTGGAGGAGTAATAGCATGGAAATGTTCTCAGCCTCTGCTCGTGAAGATGATGAAGAAGCTCTTAAGTGGGCAGCAATAGAGAGACTTCCAACGTATCTACGAATAAGGAGAAGCATACTCACTAATGATGAGGGTAATGCTAAAGAAATCGATATCAAGCAACTGGGATTAACGGAGAGAAAAATTCTGTTGGATAGACTATTGAAATTTGCGGAAGAAGATAACGAACAGTTCTTGTTGAAACTTAAGCAACGCATGGACCGGTAAGTGTAATATTTTGCCAGTTTGATTCTTGTGCCTTGAAGGTCATAGTCAAAGGTGAGCTTAAATTTCACATGTTGTGGATTCACTTTACTCAGAGTTGGACTTGAGATTCCAACAATTGAAGTTCGATTTGAGCATATAAATGTGAAGGCAGAAGTCTACGTTGGAAGCAGGGCATTACCTACAATGTTCAACTTCTTTGTGAATGTCTTGGAGGTATTTCAGTAAGATCCATACTATGTTTCTGATTTACTGATGATTTTGCCTCTAACTACTTACAATGCTCTATTCCTTTATCAAGGATTTCCTAAATTATCTCCACATCATTCCGAGTCCAAAGAAACCACTATATATCCTTCAGAATGTTAGTGGAATCATAAAGCCTCAAAGGTGAGTTCAAGTTCATTTTCTTTTTGAAAACGAAAAGGCAGGTATTCATTGCACGCCCCCCAGTTGGGTATGATATTTTTGCAGAATGACCTTGCTTTTAGGGCCCCCAGGCTCTGGAAAGACTACTTTGCTATTGGCCCTGGCTGGAAAACTCAGTAAGGACTTAAAAGTAAGGAAACCAACTTTAACTGTCATGATTAAAAGGGCTACCTGTTAAGGAATTATTCATTTGAATATCTAATTTTGATTAGTATGAAATCGCAGTATTCTGGGAGAGTCACATATAATGGTCATGGGCTGGACGAGTTTGTACCACAGAGGACATCAGCTTATATTAGTCAAGATGACATCCACGTTGGAGAAATGACTGTGAGGGAAACACTCTCTTTCTCTGCCAGATGTCAAGGGGTTGGGCAGAATTATGGTTAGTTAAATCACTTGGAATATGACAAACACGTTGAACTAGACTAAAAAGACCTAAACGGCTCTTGATCATGGTTTTGTTAATCATAACAACTGTACAGAGATGCTAGCAGAACTACTTAGAAGAGAGAAGGAGGCAAAGATAAAACCGGACCCCGATATTGATGCCTACATGAAGGTGATGAAAAGATCTTTTTTATTTTTTTAAAAAAGGGAGATTTTGAGCTGTTTCCTTCACGCTTGATACCTTTAAACTCTGCAGGCAGCAGCATTAGAAGGGCAGGAAACAAGCGTGGTCACTGACTACATTTTGAAGGTAGTTATCAAATCCCCAAGTCACACTAGACAAAAGCAAGTTGTGAGAACAGAGGTTTTCATGTTTTCCCCTCTAAAATAATGCAGATTTTGGGACTTGAATTATGTGCTGATATTATGGTAGGAGATGGAATGATAAGAGGTATCTCAGGTGGACAGAAAAAGCGAGTTACAACAGGTAGATTGATAACTAATTTAAAACCTGAATTTGGGTTTTCCAACCAGGTCGATTGATAATAAACAATTCTGGTGAATAATGCTCAGGGGAGATGCTGGTGGGACCTGTAAGAGTGTTATTCATGGATGAGATATCAACTGGCTTGGACAGCTCAACAACTTTTCAAATTATCAATTCAATCCGGCAATCAATCCATATTCTCAATGGAACTGCGCTTGTTTCTCTCCTACAGCCAGCACCAGAAACTTATGAGCTATTTGATGATATAATACTCCTCACAGATGGGCAAATTGTGTACCATGGTCCCAGAGAGAAAGTACTCGACTTCTTTGAATCTATGGGCTTCAAATGTCCTGAGAGAAAAGGAGTTGCTGACTTCTTGCAAGAAGTATGACTGCTAATTACTTATTCTTCCTTCTTGACATCCGCAACTTTAGCTGTTGTTTAATTAAAAAAAAAATTAAAGCTGGTTTCATTATTGTGAGATGAGATAGGTGACGTCAAGGAAAGATCAATGGCAGTACTGGGCACGCAAAGATGAACCTTACAGTTTCGTTACAGTCAAGGATTTTGTTGAAGCCTTCCAGTCATTTCACGTTGGTCATGTACTTGGAGAAGAACTAGCCAATCCTTTTGACAAGACCAAATGTCACCCGGCTTCCTTGAGCACAAAAAAATATGGTGTTAGCAAGAAGGAGCTGCTGAGGGCTTGTGTTGGCAGAGAATTTTTGCTTATGAAGAGAAATTCATTTGTCTACATATTCAAACTGACCTTAGTGAGTAAAACTAAAGAATTAAAGCTATTCATCCTATCTAATCAACTGAAACCTATAAACATTAAAATTCCCAGCACCCAAACATGTTAAGGGAAAAGGCACTTATATTTCTATTCTTCCTTCATTTCAGCTAAGCTATTTAGCGATCACGACAGCAACGTTATTTCTACGAACTAAGATGCATAAAAATACTGTTGCGGATGGAGGAACTTATATGGGTGCTCTGTTCTTCGCAATCATTGTGGCTATGTTCAATGGAATATCAGAGCTAAACATGACAATCATGAAACTTCCTGTCTTCTACAAGCAAAGAGACCTTCATTTCTATCCTTCATGGGCCTACTCTCTACCACCATGGATCCTCAAAATACCATTCAGCCTGGTAGAAGTTGCCATTTGGGAAGTAATAACATATTATGTCATCGGCTTTGATCCCGATATTACAAGGTGAGAAGGAAAACAAACAAAAAAAATCCGAAGCTAAATTTTTTATCACTGGTTTCAGAATCTAACGAGAACCCTCACTGGCAGGTTTTTCAAACAGTACCTGCTACTCTTGTGCCTTAACCAGATGGCATCTGCACTATTTCGATTGATGGCCGCATTAGGACGGGATATTGTAGTTGCAAACACTGCTGGGGCATTTGCTTTACTTGTCATCATGGTTTTGGGAGGATTTGTGATTTCACGAGGTAATATAATAGCAATGCAACCTTAAAAAATTTCGATAACATCATGATTGATAAATCTATTCTTTTTGCACCAGAGGATGTACACAAATGGTTTCTGTGGGGCTACTGGTCCTCGCCACTTATGTACGCTCAGAATGCTATTGCCGTTAATGAATTTCTCGGGCATAGATGGAGAAAGGTTTTTCTGTTTAATTTTAGTATTCATATTTGTGTGTGTGTGTGTGTTTGTGTGTTTTTTTCTATAGGTATATGTATGTAAGTATACCTTTATAATATATAATTGGGTAAATCTATTGCTGTCGCAGCTTATTGTCGATGGGAATGAAACATTGGGAGTCATGGTACTGAAAGCTCGTGGGTTTTTCCCAGAAACTTATTGGTATTGGATTGGAATAGGGGCTTTGATTGGTTATACCTTCCTATTTAATTTCATTTACACATCGGCTTTGCAATATCTGAGTCGTAAGTATCATCCTCAAGTTTATTTGGAATGTGAACCTTGACTTTCTTACTAATAATTATTTGTGCTGCTAATATAGCATTCAGAAAGGCACAAGCTGGGCTATCCCATGAAAAATTGATGGAGAGAAATGCTTCCGGATATGCAGAGCTCATTGAACAATCGCCAAAAGGAAAGATCTCTTCTGGTTAGTCCTTGAGCTTTAGTATGGGCTTCTTTTTGTAGCCTGGAGTCTGATATGTGAAAGCCATAACATGATGACTGATTAATTCAGGACCAAG